GGGCCCGGAGCCGCTGTCATCACGCCGAGCTCAGTGAGCGGCAGCGAGGCTGGCCCGGGGCATGCTGGGAGTTGTAGTGCTCGCGAGGCTCAGACTGAAGGGAACGTGCGGAGGTGCCGCGAGGACAGAGACTACAGCGCCCAGACGGCAGCGCGGCCCGTTGGGATCTGCCCTCTCCTCCCCCCTCTAATACCTTCTGCCGCGCCATAGAGCTGCTGCTGCCTAAGCTGGGATTAGAGGTGACCCTGAGGCAGCGACACAGCCAGACGAGCCACTTCGTCCCGCCATGGTCAGTACCGCTCCTTACTCCGCCGGCACGAGGGGAGCCGGAGCGCTTCTCCCTCTGCTGAATGGGGATGGGAACCCCTGCGTGGGGCGCGGGTTCGCCTTCCCGCCTGTGTGAGGGGGTAACCTGCCCGGGGTGCGGCGGAGCAATTCCCCCCCCCCGTCTCGGGGTGAGGGGCTGGGAGAGGGAGCAGATTCCCCCCCCTCCCCTCCCGGGGTGAGGGGCTGGGAGAGGGAGCAGATTCCCCCCCCTCCCCTCCCGGGGTGAGGGGCTGGGAGAGGGAGCAGATTCCCCCCCCTCCCCTCCCGGGGTGAGGGGCTGGGAGAGGGAGCAGATTCCCCCCCCTCCCCTCCCGGGGTGAGGGGCTGGGAGAGGGAGCAGATTCCCCCCCCTCCCCTCCCGGGGTGAGGGGCTGGGAGAGGGAGCAGATTCCCCCCCCTCCCCTCCCGGGGTGAGGGGCTGGGAGAGGGAGCAGATTCCCCCCCCTCCCCTCCCGGGGTGAGGGGCTGGGAGAGGGAGCAGATTCCCCCCCCTCCCCTCCCGGGGTGAGGGGCTGGGAGAGGGAGCAGATTCCCCCCCCTCCCCTCCCGGGGTGAGGGGCTGGGAGAGGGAGCAGATTCCCCCCCCTCCCCTCCCGGGGTGAGGGGCTGGGAGAGGGAGCAGATTCCCCCCCCTCCCCTCCCGGGGTGAGGGGCTGGGAGAGGGAGCAGATTCCCCCCCCTCCCCTCCCGGGGTGAGGGGCTGGGAGAGGGAGCAGATTCCCCCCCCTCCCCTCCCGGGGTGAGGGGCTGGGAGAGGGAGCAGATTCCCCCCCCTCCCCTCCCGGGGTGAGGGGCTGGGAGAGGGAGCAGATTCCCCCCCCTCCCCTCCCGGGGTGAGGGGCTGGGAGAGGGAGCAGATTCCCCCCCCTCCCCTCCCGGGGTGAGGGGCTGGGAGAGGGAGCAGATTCCCCCCCCTCCCCTCCCGGGGTGAGGGGCTGGGAGAGGGAGCAGATTCCCCCCCCTCCCCTCCCGGGGTGAGGGGCTGGGAGAGGGAGCAGATTCCCCCCCCTCCCCTCCCGGGGTGAGGGGCTGGGAGAGGGAGCAGATTCCCCCCCCTCCCCTCCCGGGGTGAGGGGCTGGGAGAGGGAGCAGATTCCCCCCCCTCCCCTCCCGGGGTGAGGGGCTGGGAGAGGGAGCAGATTCCCCCCCCTCCCCTCCCGGGGTGAGGGGCTGGGAGAGGGAGCAGATTCCCCCCCCTCCCCTCCCGGGGTGAGGGGCTGGGAGAGGGAGCAGATTCCCCCCCCTCCCCTCCCGGGGTGAGGGGCTGGGAGAGGGAGCAGATTCCCCCCCCTCCCCTCCCGGGGTGAGGGGCTGGGAGGGGGAGCAGGCCCCCCTTCCTCTGTGTGTGTGTGGGGGGGGGAATATCCCCTTTCTGCGGTGAAGGTGGGCTTACAGAGCCTCTCTCTCCCCCATATGTGTGTGGAAGGGTGACCTTGTGCAGTTCCTAGTGGAACAGAGGCATGTGTGGAGTACATGGTGGCTGTGCCGGGGAGGGGGTTGGGGATAGGGCAAGCTGCAGAGGTTCCTGGACTAGGCACCCACGTTTAGGGGTGAGGCACCATCGTTTCTGTGCTGCGGTGACCCCTTATCCTTGCAGCAGAGGTCATAGAGCCTGCAGCCTGGGCCCTTTGAACATTGCTGGCTGGAGCGCTTGCAGAGGGCACATCATCAGTGGCTAGATAGAGTTGCTAACGGTTGGGTAAAATCTTGGTGTGTTTTTGTAGAAACCATCTATAAATTCCTGGAGAAGGGATGAGGAGGTGGGTGATGTTGCTGAAATGCCTTGAGCTGGCTTTGAATGTGTTCTTCAAGGCACAAGCACACCTGAGACTCAAACGACTCCTATCAGGGCTGCCTGCTTGCTGAAGGATTCAAACTAGCAATTACACTTTTCCATATAGTTTTGTATCTTGATCTAAAAATGTCACAGGTCTAGGGGATCATACCACATGCACTCCTGTGTTGTTTTCCAATTCATTTTGTGTTTGAGTCTTATGATGTTAGGCAAGTTCAGGTGATGTAGTTAGGTAAGAGGGAAGGGGGGCTGGTACTAACCTCAGATATGTGCCCTTGATTTCAGATTTCATTTGTCCTTTCTATGGTGGTAGTGAAATAGTTGAAAAGATATTTTGCCTGCAAAGGCCTGAGAGAGAAACATTCTCATTTCTCTGTTAAAATAGTCACTAATAATATCCCCAAAGGCAAGGAGCTATATCCAGTACACTGCTTCTCTTTATTTCTGGTGTAATAGTTAGGATTGCACTGCAGGTGCTCTGATCTTACTACTTGCCTCCATTTCCTCTCCTAAGATGCATTTAGATATTTTCAGGTTAAATAAACGAACTTGTATGATACGGCTTACTGTCGGTTTTGTAAATTGCTTGCTTCCTGTTACTATCCAATGTATATACAGGCAGTCCCCGGGTTATGTACAAGATAGGGACTGTAGGTTTGTTCTTAAGTTGAATTTGTATGTAAGTCGGAACTGGTACATATTGTAGGGGGAAACTCTAGCCAAACATTTCTCCAGAGCTCAGTTTTATTCTTCCAAACCTCACTTCCCTCAGTCCTTTATTCGCAAGCTGAGCTCCGCGTCTCCCTGGTCTGCTGGGGGGGCGCTAGCTTTGCGTCTCCCTGGTCTGCTGGGGGGGAAGCAGCTAGTGCAGGGTTGCCTCACCCCGTTTGTAAGTAGGGATCCGATGTAAGTCGGATCCATGTAACCTGGGGACTGCCTGTACTTAAGATGACCCTTCTTGTATCCCTAGCCATGGATATCTATTTATTTTTTTGCCCATCCTACCTTCCTTGATCCTAAATCCTGCTGTTTCTGCCCCAGTCTTCTTTTATTTGTATGTCTACAATGCTACTCTAGTGAGTCCCTGTACAAACTTACCATTTTGATCTCCTGTTCATGCTACTCCCACTCATATAAATTGGTGTTAGGAATGACATTGTTCAAAACAAAATCCCTCATGATTTTAGTACTGTATAATTGTTATTAGTCAAATCCTCAGGTATTTTCAAATGTGAATGTTTACATATCTTAAAATGGAAGTTGAAGGAACAGACTCGGGACCACTACATCCACGTAGAACTTGCCCATAGCTAGAAACAAGTGCTAAACTATCTGATCATGCTGAATTTTATCAGAATTCAGTTTTCTGAACTAATTTCTCTACTCAAAAATAGGAAAAGGACTGAGTGAAAGTGAGAGACAAGATGGGTAGAACAACATATTTTATTGGAACAAATTTGTTGGTGGAAGAAATAAGACTTCCGTAGATCTTGAAAGCTTGTTTCTTTGGTTTTTTTTTAACCAACTTTTGTTGGTAAAAGATATTCCCTCATGCACCTTGTTTCTCTGATGTCATAGAACCAGGGCAGCTACCACAGTACTTCCAAGAGGGAAAGTCTGTCAACCAAGTCATATTGGTTTGATGTCTGACTCTTAAGCTTTCAATGAAATAAAGCTTCAGTAATATTAACCGTGTATAGTATAAGGTGTTTTATAAAGCAAGGTTGGGTACTTCTAAACCTTGAACTGAGCATGGACTACTGTCCTCGTAATCCCATTTTCCTATATTGGGGGAACGCTCCCCTATAAATGTAATTTTTAACTAGTTAACCAATTAACTGATTAACCAATTACATTGGATTTTACATCCTTACTCTATAACCAAGTATTCTTTTAAAATAAGATATTTTGTCTTCCTCTGTCTACAGAATTCTGCTTATGCTGAACAATAAAGAGGATGAAGGGGTCCTGTACACAGTACTATAACAAAATACTTTATTTGGCACTCTTTTGTATAGAACCAAATACTCCATACACTTTCCTGGCGCTCTTTCATGCTTTTGAATGTGATATTGGGGGTGATGGGAGACAGCAAGGTATAAATAGCTTCCATTGTATTTTAATTGAACTTATTCTATATGTGTCATCTAACAAACTCCAAAAACTGAAGACTAAATTAGGTTACTGCTCTAGTTACTAGAAAAGAAAAGTATTCTTATTAAAGTTCTGAAGCCAAGTTGCAAATTAAAATGACTATCCTATGTACTTAAGACTCCTTTCTGAAACAACGGACCTCCATGTAAAGGGACATGGTCACCTTGACATCTAGCAAGTTTAAAACAAAACTGAGGCCGCCTTCACTCTGCGGAAGATTGATGCGGCCATGATTATCTTCCAGAGTTTGTTTGAGCAGGTCTCATAAAGACTAGGGATATCAGTGACTAGTCAAGTCACTACTTGAGTAGTTGCTTCTCTTCCCCTCCCTCTTGCTGTTGCTATCAGCAGTGAGGGGAGCTGGCTTAAAAGCTGGTTTCTCCCAACAGTGTCTCCGTGGGGGAGCGGGACAGAAGAGGCAGAAGTGCAGCGGGGGACCAGGCACTGGCTCGCTTCGTGTCCCATGCTTCACCTCTGCCTTTTAAATGTAGTAAGAGCCACCCTGCTCTTGCTGTGTTTAAAAGGCAGAGCCACAGTGGGGTTAGCGCTGCGTTTAAAAGGCAGAGCCACTGCAGCTCTTCAGTTTTCCCCCTTATTGGCTAATTGAGTGGTATATGGAAATTCCATCAACAACTCAATTATCTGATTAAACATAATTTGACCTCCTTAGTAAAGACCCACTAAAGTGAACTCAGAGGGTGCCCCTGTCAGTGGCTAGTATGCCTGCTCCTGCAAGGAGTAAGGGAAGCTGACAGGAGTATTTGCTTCTTTCAGCCTTCTGCTGTGGGAACTGGGGGGGGAACTTGAATCAAGGTATCTTGACTCCACCTACATAATTAATGTAGCTGGAGTTGCATGTCTTGATTCTGGTGCATAAAAAAGCCTCTGCCTGAGCTCACTAGATTTATATACATGGACAGGGCTCGACAAATAATACAATCTACTCACTACAGGCGAGTAGATTGTAACCCGGAAGAGCCGGGTTCGGGTGATCTGCGCATGCGCAGAATGCC